TACAACATTTAGTTAGCTGACAGAGCAGACCGACAGAGAGGAGAGAAGAGAGAGAAGAGCAGACAGACAGAGAGAGAAATAGACTAGCATAGAAGAAAACCACACACACACACACACACCACACACACATACACATACACACGCACACACACACCACAACACACACCACACACACACAACACACACACATGCACACTCACACGCGCGCGCGCGCAGCGCACACCACCGCAAACACACACAATAGCGAGAGAGACAGAGAGAGAGAAAGAGAGAAAGCAAGAGAGAAGAGCAGAGAGAGAGAGAGAGAGAAGAGAGAAAGAGAGAGAGTAACTGTCTATTTAAAAATATACCGCGTAATGATATACCGATATAAGACTACATCGCTCCCTCATCGACTAATAGAAATATAAGATTCGCAACATAGAATAGAAACCTATACATAGAAACATTGCGTAGCTTGCCGTTACCTTGCCGGAGTGACTCCTAATGACCTGCCTCCACCTTCGTCTCGCTGACAACCTTCCTAGAGTCCTTCTTACTCGGACGTTCCTGCCATACCCTCCTCGATGTCCTTACATTCCCGTTTCGGCGGCGCTGCGTCGTACGTCACCAGCGGGCCGCGCGCGTCTCGGGCGTCGCGTAAGCTTCGATGCCGAGCGTGTGTCTGCTGACTGCCCTCTGCCTGCGACCTTTGCTGATTGCGGCTGTTCATGTGGTTCCGCCAGGGAGCGCTACGGTCGCTCGAAGCTCTCGTTTTTTCCGCTTCACGACCCTGAGGAGCAGGACAAGATGCATTATAAATAAATAAATAGAACCAAATATATTATATATAATATACTATATATATTATAGCTAGAACATGCCTACCGTGCTCTCGCTCTTCTGTTCTCGGATGAGATTAATGAGATATAACGTTATATTATTTTTTTATTCACTGAGTTATACACCCAACAAACAACAAAACAAACAAACACAACACACGGCAGACACACACAACACACACAACACACACACACACACACACACACAACAACAGACGAAACACACACACACACACACACACACCACACACACACACACACAACGCACACACCACACACCCCACACACGACACACAGCACACACACACACACACAACACACACACACACATATATACCTAATATATATATATATATATAATTATAGCCAGTTGTGTATAATTATTGGTTGTAAACCGTGACAGATCAACGACGTAATATTCTGCCTTGCCGCTTTACACAAAGGCGAACACGGGTGGCACACCAGTGGTCCCCATCACCGGCAGGGACGTTGGCCAGTCAGCGCGGTTTCCGACAACATGTAGCGTCATCGTTTGGGTGTAGCACCGTCACCTTGCAGCGTCAAGCTCCGCTTTTGTACTTACCTTGCCAGCGTCAGCACGGCGGTTTAAGGACTCACACGCTGCAGGTCAGCGTCAGCGCGGTTTGTGACACACCTTGCCAGCGCAGAGCCGTTAAGGACTCTCTTGCAGCGTCAGCGTCAGCGGTGTTTATACTCACCTTGCAGCCGCAGCGTCAGCGGTGTTAATGACTCACCTCTGGCAGCGTCATCGAGTCGGCGGCGGCGCACGGCGTGCCGATGCTCCGTACGACACGTCGTTGTTGAAGCTAACTGATCGTGGTACGCCTTCCGCGCCTCCACGTCATCTCGGAGGCACCTCTTGACCTCTCGCGAGCTTCCGCCAGCCGCCGCCATGTGCGCTGTCTTGCAGCACCGGTGCTACTTATCGCGGGCTGAAGAGGGTCGCCGCGCCCGGTCTGTCGCCGTGTGCCTGCAGAACAGTGTGAGGTGTGTTAGTAGTGTATAGTAGCATAGATTACTGCAAACGCAGTAGTATAGTATACTCATTCTATCTGTCTAGTCTATCTATCTATCTATCTATCTCTCTCTATATAAATATATATATATAAATATATATATAATATATATATATATATATAATATATGTGTGTGATGTGTGTGTGGTTGTTGTGTTGGTTGGTGTGTGTCGCTGGTGGCTGTGTGGCTGTGTTGTGATGTGTGTGTGTGTGTGTGTGTGTGTGTGTGTGTGTGTGTGTGTGTGTGTTTGTTTTGTACATGTAGCGTATAAAACTAGTAGATAGATATCATAAAAGATGTTGTAAAACTAGTACTAAAAAAGCGACTTTAGTAACTTAGGTAAAGAATGGAGATGCGTCTAAAGATTAAATCTCATGCGACAATCTTGAATAAAATGCGTTACTCTTTTAAATATACCATTTGCCTTGTGCTTCAGCGCGGTTACAACAAAAATGGCGTCCCATGGCGCGCTTACCGTTGGCGTGGAAGGTTTGTCCTGCTTCGGCGATAGAGTCTCCTCCAGTTTCTCCCGCAGCTCGGACGATATCATAAAGCTTCCTCGGCACGCGGGTTTCCTTCTTCTCTGGCTGCGGACACGGAGGAGGTGGCGGCTTCTCCCACAGCTTCGAGTCCTGTCCGTCGACCTCGTCAAGTGTGTGAACTCTGACCCGCTGACGCTCAACGGCGACCTGGTTTCGAAGCGGGGTCACGGTTAGGTCACGGTAAGGTCGCGGTAATATCACGGTTAGGTTACGTAAGATCACGGTTGGGTCACGGTAAGGTCACGGTAAGGTTATGATAAGGTCACGGAAAGGTCACGGAAAGAGATTGTCTCACCGAGGTGTAGACATTGAGGGTTATCGTCTTATATATATATATATAAATATATATATATATTATATATATACGCCGCAGGCAATCATCACTTATATCTCGTAAATATGTGCGTGATAACAAGCATTTATACACATTGGCTGTTGACTCACCTGAGGGCGTGTCGAAGCTGGTCAGCATTTCTCGTCTCGCTGGTCCTCACGTCCGTCTGACCGGAAGTGACGTTCGTGCTGCCGCCGTACCGCACGATCACGTGACTGCGCAGCTGAACTCTGTCCGGCCGCGGCGGTGTGCGAGGACCTTGGTGGCGGGACGTGGTGGCGGGCCGGCGTGGCGGGGCCGGGGTGGCGGGATGGTGCGGGAGGCGAGTGCGGAGGGTCGTCCTTCTTCTTCTCCTCTGCTCAGCTTAACGCCGACAAGGCTTTGCTGCCCTCTGTCTCCTCGCGCCGCGAGCGGCCAGCGCACCTGAATAGGACATAATGCTGCTTGAATCAACGACAAGAGAGACAGACGAGAGAGAGAATGAGAGAGAGAGTGAGACGCAGGAGAGTGAGAGAGGAGAGTGAGAGTGAGCAGAGGGGGAGCGAGGAGGGAGAGAGCGGTAGAAGAAAGAGAGAGAGAGAAGGAGCGGAGGTGAGCCGGGATAGAGAGAAAAGAAAAGAGAAAGAGAGAGAGAGGAGAGAGAGAAGAGGCAGAGAGAGAGAGAGAAAGAGAGGAAGGAGGCGAGAAAGGGAGCGCATTAGAGAGAAGAGAAGAGCAGAGAGAGGAGAGAGAGAGAGAGGAGAGAGAGCAGAGAGAAAGAGAGAAGGAGGAGAAAGGAGGCGGATAAAGAGAGCAAGAAATGTAGAGAAAGAATGAGAGAGCGCGCGCGCATAGGAGACTTAGAGAAGGCGAGACAGACAGGGAGAGAGAGGACAGATGGAGAGAGGGAGACAGATGGCCCCCTCGCTATACCGTACCTTGCCGATTCGCACAGTCTTAGCACGACCCTGCACGTAGAAAACATTCCCGGCGATGAAGTTCGTCGCTGGGTGGCTGCGCGCGCGCACCGATTTCCGACGCCTGCCAGCGACACCTGCGGCGCCGTCGCCACGGTAGCCGCTGTGACGCTTCGAACGAAGACGATGACGTCAGCAGCGGCTCGACGCCACCCGCGCTCGCGTAACGTTTGTCGCTTTCGGCGACCTCCCGGCGCAGCGCGCGCGCGCGCCGGAAGCGACGGCGACTCATCGGCAGGGCATCGACACGCTGACGCGCAAACGCCCTATGGCTGTACGCGCTCGTCTGCTTCATCCTGCGCTTCCCGCGTTTGGCGAATCTCACCGCCTGGCAGCGCTGGCGCCGCTGTACGAGCGCACACGAACTCGGCGACATGGCTGCCTCGCCTGCAACCGCCGCCGCGAGAGCGTTTACGATGCATGAGGTGAGCGGAAGCACACCCGTGAGCGACACCCGCGGCGCCGGCGCGAGAACTCAGGGTTGAAAATTTGCAGAGCTGAATATTGTTAGCTTAAGTTGATAAGTTTGTTATATAAGTTATTTTAATAAGTTATAAGTTTATAATTTATGGTAGGGTGTGGTGTGTTTCTGTGGCTCGACATAAAAGGCATGATCTAGATATTGTGGTGCATATATCGGCGACTATCTCTTCATCAGCTTTATATCCACCGTAGCGTTACATCAAAATAGCCTCAACGCAACCTTCAAGCGGCTACGCACAGCTCTGTTTGGCATAATATTGAATCGCTAGATGACCTAGCGTCTTAGCGCGATAACAACGCACTTAATTATTATCGCTATGTCAATCAAAACAAACCTAATTCATGTGTTTATAAAACCCCAAAAATCCGCTTCAGTACGGCACTTCGTTGCTAAACATGTCTTTTAGAACATCGCCATAACAGCAATGCATCGGCGATTAACGTGCCCATCAATCACGTGGCGATGATAAGGTCATTAAAAGTCAATAATCGTTAACAGGCATTGCGTGTTATATTGCTGCCACTATGACGGAGAATGTGCCACGCATACTATAAAACACACCATCATCGCATTGACCGCTGGGCTTGAACTGTGACCGATCAACACTTACCCGCGTCCACTCTAGAGCGTCACGATGCGCCCGTGGCGACTCTACCCCCGCTTCGTTCTCGCCGTCGAGTGCTGCTCAGTAGTTGGCTGCTGTAGCAAATAAGCGTCTGCTGCTGCAGCTGCTGCTGCTGCTGCATCGCGGCCGCCACCAGGCGCCCTGCGTGTCCATCTGCGACTGCAGTGGACTGCGTCTGCGATACGAAGACAGAAACTCATCAAGTCTTAATCGACATTTCCGTGGACTATTTTTACTTGCCAGCCGATATGCAGGCTTTAAAAGACTCTCTAACAAAAAGCCCTCACTTAAAAACGAATCCAAAACAGTTTTTTTTATTAGACTGTTTCTAAATTGCACTTTGCGCGTATAATTATTCTAATCGTAACTTTCACGTGATCCACGCCCGCGTACAGGACGGGCCTACACTCCCACGCTCAGGCCGCCATCACAGTATTACAATCAAACCGTTGTTCTATCATCGTACCGCTTGTTGACTATATTTCTTACCCATTGATCAGCGTGAGCTCTATGTTATAAGGAGGAGTTAGTGATGTGTGCAGAGATGCGAGCGAAGCGCGTGTGTACATGATCAGCCTCTGAGAATTTCATACCGCTGAGCTCCGCTTCAACCGGAAACTCTTTAGTAATTTAGTAGTTTTTTTATATTAATTAATCAAATCAGGCGTGACGTGCGTACGATTTCGTACCATTATATCCTCTCTCTCTCTCTCTCTCTCATCTCTCTCTTCTCTCTCTCTCGCTCTCTCTCTCTCTCTCTCTCTCTCGTCCTCTCTCTCTCTCTCTCTCTGTTCTCTCTCTCTCTCTCCATCTCCTCTCTCTCTCTCTCCTCTGAGCGATCCTAACCCTCATTCTCCACTTCTTATTTCTCTCCCAATGAGATCCTCTTCTCCTTCCACGCCGTGATCTTGAAAGCATCTGCTCACTCCTCCACCTCTGCCTCCCGGCTTCCCTTTCCTACTTCCCCTCTTCGCTTATCTCCCCATACACCCCTCTCGCGCAATACCACCCTTCCCTCCCGCATTTGTTCCCACTCATATCTCCTCTGCCCTTTTCTCCAAACACACTTCTTACTCGTTCCTGTTCTCTCCTCCTCCACCCAAGACCCCGCCCTCCCTCAACGTACCCATTCTTACTCTCCCCCTCCTTGCTCCCCTCCTCACACACCTACCCCAGCGAGCCACGTTATAGTTCTTCTTGTGTGTTGTTTGTAGCGTGATCATAAATACTTGATGGCCCGCGTGCGATGACTGAGCGTGCCGGCCCTGCCAGCGGATGCGTGCCTACACTAACGCGCGGAAGCTGCAGATGATGACGATGAGGATGGAGGAGGGATGGCGAAAGACGAGCGCCTCACCAGTGCTTAGTAATGCTGCAGCTGCTGCGATAGCCTGCCAGTGACTCAACGCTTAGCTCGCTCGTGCTGGCAGACATAGCATACCTGCGCAGCAATCAACAAAGTAAAAAAAATCACCATCGCTAATGGATATCGCATATTAGTTCATCTTATTAAACTCGATTAGGTATAGGCAATCGTGTAAAAAAAAAAAACCGCATCGCGATTGCGAAACCGTTCGATTTTCGACTTCGAATTAGCATCATCTACGCCAGCAGCGGATTCACGCGTGTCATACACGTGACGCGTCGGCCAGCGAGCGTCGGCGGACATAGACACGTGATGCGCATGCCAGCGACCGCGTCGGCTGGATGCTTACACGACAACATCTCAACGACGCTCGCCAATAGGCAACGATGTAGTGACGACGACGACAACTATTTCAGTAACGCGAAGCCAGCATAGCCGAAAAAACTAAGACAAAACCAATTCGCGCGAAAAAAATCCGAGAACTACTAAGTGCTGACCAAAAAAAGTGCTATAAGACGACGACTACTTTGCAAAAAAAGTGTGAGAAGACTTGTTGTAGAGAAGGTGAACTACTTTGTGTGTAGAATGAGACAAACGCCGCCATAAGACAAGTCTAATCCTAACCCAAGTCTTAAAGAAACAATCTGAACTACTAGTCGCAAAATAATCCACAGCAAGTCTTAAGACGACGAGCATCTTAAAGAGAAGATGTCTTAGTCATACCCGAGCCATATTAAGGTCTGTGTACGGCCTTCGTGGCAGCTCCACAATGAAAGACAACACGGTAGCGTTAACCGCTGGTACCTAGTGCGCAAGACTATCATTTGAAGTCTTAATTCATGATTCGAAAAAAGAAATGCATTTAGTAGTTTTTAACGTAATCCTATTGGTGATAGCTATTTGCTTAGCTATTAGTTACGTAGACTATTTAGTCAATAAAATATCTAATCTAATCTACAGTAGCTCCACGGTAGGCTATAGTAATGTAGGAGTAAATTACAATACATTACAAAAATGTACTCTTGGGCAAAACATTTATTTAGTATTTTATGGTATATAGTAGGTTTATATATCAGTAGTTATTCGTAAGAACCAGAGTACATGAACAATATACAATAATTACAAGCCACAATACAAGCTTAATGCAACTGTTATTGGCCCAGTATGGAGTATTAATTATCTGACATTCATGCACGTAACTTGAGTGAGTACTACTTACCTTGCCGGTAAACTGGACAAAGATTGTCGACGTTACTGGCACGTGGCATGCACCGGCTGCCAGTGAGTGAGCAGGATGTGTGCGTGTTTGTGTTGTGTGTGTGTGCTCGTGTGCTACTATGCGTCCGAGGACCTACATGTGAAAAAACACCTTTACTCCGAGGACTATTTTGACCACCGAGGACTAAAATCGTAGTCCTCGGTCGTTTTTGCTTTATATCGCACCGGGGACGTGTCAGGACTACCGCGCCAAAATTTGGAGTCGGACCTCTGTCAGGCGCTGATGTGTGAATGTGTGTATCTCTGAAACACACTTTGCAGCCTACAAAAACACACTAGGGGTAGCTAGCGCCCCTAGTGGGCGAATTGAACCAACAAGGAATGCTAACGGCAGTCTAGTGTTAGAGACTGGTCCCTGACTGCGGGCGGCTCATCAAGGTACACCTAGCCGGTCACGTGGTTAGCCTCCCCCTGCTAGTCCCGCCACACCGCTGCGGGGTTTGTGTTGCTGTTTACTCGGATGCGAGGGTCACAGGGGGAAAGGCGGGAATTGCTGGTAGGATCAGCGCGCGCGCGAATTCTAAGGCGCAAAACGATGAGCCGCTGAGCCTATCAACAGTTCCCGCCTTTTCGCCGTGTGAATCTCGCATCCGAGTAAACAACGGGCTACGGAGAAGTACTAGATCTTAAGCTGCACGGCCTACAGCGAGCGTGAAGAAATGCAGCGTCATAAAAGAATAAAGCCAGATCACGTAGCTAGAAATTGTATAACGGAAAAAAGGGACCGAATTGGATTGGAAGTTGATATCATCCCGCAAAAAGGTAAGATACAATAGGCAATTTGATTTTTGTGTGTCACAAATTCGTCGCATAATAATTTTTTAAATATATTATTAGTTGAAAATATACATATCATATTCATAGGTATGGGAGTATAACTATAAATAACTGGAAATCAAAGATGCAGACTGTGTGTTTGAAGGCCCTATAGATGTGGATCACAACCTTATAATGTTTTTTGCCATTACAGGTAGAGGCATAAGAGCTACGCAATTGATCCGCTCAGGTGATTTTGTAGCGTCTTACCATGGTGACTTAATTTCTCAAGAGGAGGGTGATCGCCGGGAGCAAGAGAGCAGCAGCGGCTTCCGCTACTTCTTCGAAACTAAAAACATTGGATGGTGGTAAGTGCAAATTTTTAAACATTTTGGTACAAGTCAGAATTTAACTGGTAATGGTATTTGAGTGTGCTACTCAAAATTGTTACCGGAGTATACACCTTTGGTTCTCGGTAATCCAGTCTTCACTACTAGTACTAGTAGTAGTAGTATATGTATGGCTCGGCTCAGAGTAGCGCGCTCTCTCTCTCTCTCTCTCTCTCTCCCTCTCTCCCTCTCTCCCTCTCTCCCTCTCTCCCTCTCTCCCTCTCCTCCTCCCTCCTCCTCGCTCTCTCTCTCCTCTCTCTCTCCTCTCCTCCCTCACCCCCTTCCCTTCCCCCCTCCTCTAATCTCTCTCTCCCTCTGTTTCTCTCTCTTCTCTCTCTCTCTCTTCTTTCCGCCTCTCCGTCTCTCTCTCTCTTTCCTCCTCCTATCTCCCCTCTCCTCTCTCTCTCTCTTCGCTTCTGTCGCTCTCCACTCTAATTCCTCTCTCTCTTTCGCTCCGCTCTTCTCTCTTTCTTTCCTT